TAGAGCTTGGATAACTCTGTGAGCTTGGCTTGCGTAGTTTTAGTGATAGAGCGATAGGATATCGTCCACATAGAATATTAACAAGATACTACAATCTCTATTAAAGAATAGGCATAGCTCCTCTTTAGAAGCAATAAGCTTATTTTCTTAGAGTGTAGTTAAGAGCTTATTATACTATAATAATAGTAAGTCTTTTAGTCTATATAGAGCTTGTTTAAGCTTAACACACTTCCTAGGTATTTAATATCCTTTAGGTTACTCGCAGATAACTGTAGGGTGTTAATCTCTTAAGGCGTTAAGGAAAGCTCTAACAACGTTATATTAATATATCTTAAGGTTAAACTTAGCTCTAATAGCTATTGCAGTCCTAAAGGTTCAAGCTACTAGGGTAGCTGCGTAGGTTAAATAAATTAAGTTAGTAAGCTGTAGATCTCCTCTTACTACTATCCTTGCTTTGCACTTGATTAGGTAACTATCCTAATTAAGCTTGTATGTAAACACCTATTTAAGTAAGAGTAGACACTCTCCTATATTTGGCCTATTAATCTCCTCCTAGGTACTAGCTTTTAGTAGAGTATTAATTTCTTTATATACTACGTCTCTAAATTGCTATCCTATTTAGTGGTTATAGAGATCCTTCTATTGTTTTAGCTCTTTTTATAGAGCGTCCTAGTGCGTATTTCTTTTAGGGTTTTTAGGGGATTTGCTCCCTATTACTACTGCAATCACAGCGTGGATTATAGCGTTTAGTTTAGGATATACTAAAAGATCGTGCAAGGGATTTCTAATTAGATCTATATCTAATAGATCTATTACTATGTATATCCCTGTACTTATAGAGCCTCCTAGTGGTTTATTAGGGTCCTGTCCCTAAGCTCGCTTACTAACACGCGTTAGTGGCAGTCCTTTAACTCGCGGTTTTCTGCTTTTTCTAGGAGCTCTAGGTGCCGCTTGTAAGGGATCTGCAGGAGATACAGAATCTAGTCCTAAAGCAGGTAGGCGGGAGCTCTGCTTACCACCCCTATAAGAACTAGATAGGGTGCCCTTACCTATCTCTGTGCTCTTATAGAGTAACCTATTAATAGCACTCTCCCCTCTAGGTCTTTCCTAGGAGCTACCTATCGTGGCGTTAAAGTAAGTTAGATCACTACTATCTTAGGTAGTAAGACCCTAATCTATAACCTGCATAGATCCTTTATATCCTATACTAAAGTTTAGTTCTAGTGTTAGTTTAGGAGTTTAGAGCCCTATTAGCTTAGGGGACTTTATATAGATCCTTTGTGCTAAGCTAGCCATGCTTAGTACCTACGCTAGAGGTGTCTACTTAGGGGGTTGTGAATTACTAGGCTAGCTAGCCTAATTATCTACCTCCTCTAGCTCTACCCTACCCCCTAGCTCCTGCGCTAGGTTTAGTCCTCCTTGCTTACTAGACTCCTTATATTGCTCTGCCATAATACAAAGCTAATTAAAGATATTAAGCTCTTTATACGCTTCTCCTGCATTGCAGATCTTATCTTTACTAATAATATTAACTATCTTTTAAGCTTCTAACTATTAAAGCTACTCTAGATCTTTCTCTTTATAGAAAAGATCCTTATTAAAGGTAACGTTCTACGTTATAATAATCTAATTAAGCAAGGGGATCTATATCCTATATATGTTAGATGCTCTGTATCCTACTAGATATCTAATATAACCCTAAGGGTTTACCTTAAAAACCCTCTTGTAACGCCTAGCTGCTCAATCTTAGTTAAGGGGGTAAGCTTAACAGCCATAGGCGTATATTCCACTCTAATTAGGGCGGAGATTAGTAGTTGCCTCCCTTATCTACTCTAGTTGCCACTACCTAAAGTATCTAGTAAACTAATAATCTAGCACTTTGTTAGGTAATATTATATTATAAGTATAAGACAGGCTTATATTGTAGAGCTAAGTTGCTGCTTTAACAATTTTAGGCCAGAGCTTTATTAGTAGGTTAGCACTAATCCTTATTTTAATTAATTTCGTTATAATCTCTTGCCCTGCTCTTTCTACTCCTCTATTAGGTTTATAGGTATATACAGGTAAGCTCTTAATTTTAATACCATTATTAGCTACCTAGATCTAAAAGCAAGATTTGCCACGCTAAGGGAGCGTTGCAACGTTGTTATCTTGTATAATCTTAACTATGCTAAGCTTATATTAGTTAAGTATTAAGCTCTTAAAATTTTTAAACACCTATATAATCTTATTAAGGTTTTTAGCTTGTAGTAGATAGGTATAAAGCTTTCCTAAGTAGTTGCACTTTAATACCAAGATCTATTGCTTATAAGCTATACCTGTTAGCATGTTAAATAGATCCTATAATACCTAGTAGTATAGACGTAGTAATCTTTCCCTTAGTTATCTTAATATAACCTGTTAGGCATGTGTAATAGCGCAGTGCTCGCATTTGCTCCTAGGAGTTCCTTTAATCCTAACGTTTATTACTAACTTAACTAGAGCTTTAAGCGCCTTAGGTCCTAAATAGCCTAATTATTAGTGCTAAAGCTCCTCACTGTTATGTCTTAGGTAAGTCGTCTAGGATTGTTAGTGTTATTTAGGCACTATGCTTTAGATTATTTAATAAGGGGTAGAGGGCTTGTATTCTAGGAAAGTTAAGTTAAACTTACGCAGTAACTTAGCTAATATAACGCTCTTCTCTAATAATCCAAACTGCAAGGTAGCATCTAGCCTAAGGAACTAAACTCCTGCTTTAAGCAATCAAGCTTCTAATATAATATTCACATAAAAACCTTCTACTAACACCACGTTAGTAAGCACCAAATCTTCTGTTTTTAGACCTCTTAGTCCATTAAGAGTATTAGGGATTACTCTAGTCCCTCTGCCTAAGATTAGAAAAGCTTAAGTTCCTACTTTAACTGTCTTATATTTAACTAATCTAAATAAGCTTTCTTCTAGGTAGCTTATATTATTAACTAGGTGCACTGCACCTCTATTGTTAAAGATAGTGCTCTTTAATAGAGCGTAAGCTTTAAAGTCTATAGTTAAATAGATCCTGTTTGTTTTCTCCGCTATTAACATAGGGTTAATTAGTACCGCCTAGATACTGCCTAGATAGGTGATCGTGCTTGCCTTACTACCATAATCTTAATCAATAGGATAGGACTTGATTAGAGCTTTCCTTAACTCTTTGAATTTTTAATTCCTATTAATCCTTTTCTTAATCTCTAATTATTAAGTAGTAGTAAGCTTGTTACCTATATTAGTCTAAGCTTTAATAACGTTTTTGTATTTAGGAGGTTTCTATAGGTAAGATCTACTGCATAGGCATAAAGACTCCTTCTTTAGTTAATTAGAAGGTGGAGCTCCTATTATTGCAAATACTCTAGGACCCCTAGAGCTTAATCTTATGTCGTTTTCTTAGAGAAGTAATAAATAGATCTTAGTAACCTGCAGGAGGTTGTATGTTAGCTCTCCTATTACTAACTTTTTAATAATCCTTTAAAACATAGTTTAACCCTAATCTAGTAAGATCCTAGTAGATAGAGCTTTAAGATAATCCTGTACTATAAGCTATCCTTTAATATTAGGAACGTTGTATACCTTAGCTTACGCATACAGGATTATCCACTCTTTTTGCTAGCAATCAGCGTCTTAACCACTTATCTTTACTTTAGCAAGATAAGCTTTATACTATAATCTTGCTAGTGTTGCAGCGCTTAAATTAGTTAGCGCTAGGTTATTACAGAGCACTTAGATAAGTGCTTAAAGGGTTACTCTTCCTTAATTAACAAGCTCTATATAGGCTAGGGTAAGGATCCCTTAATCTACTATGTTATTAACCTATATAAAGAGGTTCTAGATTACTAATAACTTTAATGCCTAATCTAATAAGCAGGCTTAGTACTAAGCTATTTAGAGCTTATACTGCTCGCTTGTTATATTAGATAGCGCGATATTTGTTGGCATGTTAGGCTTAATAGGTTTATTCTTAAAGTGGTTTTTAGTATCTAGAGCCTTAGGGTCTACCTCTGCCTAGATCCCTTTAGTTAGGGCATGGTATCTAAATTAAATATACTAGGTGGGCCAGTTAGTTAATCTAGTAAGTAGGATATCCCCCTTTAGGATTTAGTTGCTTATAGTAGAAGAGTAATAAGTAAGCTTCTGCTTAAGAAATAGTATAAAGAAAGAGTAAAGCTTTGCTAGCTTAGTGTCTAAGTTAAATAATACGCTTAAATAGATAGGACGATCTTTAATAAGGTAAAGCGCGAACCAGGCTTATAACTGTAGAAAATTAGATTACTAAGGTTAGGAATAATTTAGGAGATAGATTATTAGATTATATCTACTACAATCAGACTTATATATATAGAGCTTTAGCTACCCTTACTAGAAGGTAAATAATTAGTAAACCTTCCTTACTAGAGCTCCTGCTTTTTATTAGGCGCTTGGCAGTAAGCTGGCAGTTAATTAGATAGTGGGTTATACAGGGGTATTAATCGGGATTGATTGGATCAAGATACTCCGTGATCCGGTTAATATCCCTCCTGCAACAGTATCCTATATAACTTAAAGGCATATAGGAGTGCGCGTCTATATAGAAAGGGATAAGATTCCTACACCTATAGCTCTTGTATAAAAGGATAAGAAGAATATACCTATCCTAATATAGGCGAGCTGCTCTCTATATATATTAAGAAGTTAGGCCTTTGTTAGGGCTAACTTAGTATAGAATAATAGGCAAATAATTTTACACTAGTATTACACAAGGCTACTTAATAATACTATAAATACTAGAGTAAGGTAGGGTATAACTTATATATATATAAATTATAGCTTTAGTACTATAAAGTTCTTAAAAAGCTTTTTTTATATATCTTAGTATATATAGGTTGCGTGAATACTATTTAAAGAGTACGTGTTGGTAGGGGCTTAGCAAAAGTGACTAATTTACTTGTGTGGCTAACTTACTTATAGAGTACGTTTTTTTTTGTAGCCTATACTAATCTAGGATACTTCTAATATTTCTTTTTCTTCTCCTTCCTTCTGTGTTCATCTTTTAGGGCTGCATGCCCTGGATGATCCTGTAGGTGCTGAAATAGCTGATTGTTTGAAGAAAACGCCGCTTTGCAACCTTGACACCTTTGTTTTGTATCTAGTTTGTCATTATGCCCCTGTTTTGCAGCTCTTTTGGCGCGCTTCTGGGCGGCTTTGCCTATCTTAGGCCTGGGACAAGACGGAGAATCTGAACCGTCAGGAGCCTTGTCCTGGGCGTGTGATCCGTCGTGCGATCCTATAAATGTGGATGGAGATTCACTAACGGAGCCAGCCAATCGGGCCTCGATTTCGGAACGCGAGGCATACTCGTCGTCGTCGTCTTGGCTATCATCGTCATCATGGTCATGTTTTGCTTGATACCCTGAGGGAATATCTTCTGGTGATAACCGGGGTTGCTCGTCATCATGAGCCCTATTGTCGACTATTGTGAGCTCTATTGTATGCTCGACAACTTGATGTATGCTGCTGTCTATCTCATCCGCATCAGAGTGTGTCTTCTCTAGAAACGTAGTGGCGCCACTTTTAATAGAATCGTTATCCAGGTTGAGATGCGCATTGTCTTTTTGCATCTTCTTCTTCAGTGACTGGATTGCCTTCTGATGCTTCTTGCTCTTCTCGTGCGCTTCGTACTGTCGCTCGCTCTTGAATATCTTGTTGCAGGCTACGCATTCGTAATGCTCTTCCTCGCTTTCTTCCTCAGTCTCCTCTTCCATTTCATCTGGAGGACGTGCCGTCGCCCAAGTGGGTACTGCAAGTTCTTCCTGTTCCAATTTTGCTAGCTGTGCCGCTCGTGCTCGTGCAGCTTGAGCGGTCCTAGCATCTCGTTGCGCCTTTGCCTTGTCCTCATCTGACTGGGTGAGTGGTGTATAACGTGGATCTCGTTTGCGCACAAAAGCTACCAATGCCTGAACGGCAGTGTTGAATTCCCTCTTACCATCCTCGCGAAACTTCTGGTTTTCCTTCTCCATTAAGCGGCGGGTTCGGCGGTCGGGGGCATCAGAGAGACGATATCTGTCCAGCCATGCGAAGCTCTTGGCCGTCGCGAATCCGTTCCAGGTAGCATAGAATTGTCGCACCACATTGTCATAGCGGTCATCCTTGTGGCCAAATGTTGGATAAACGGGAATATCAATGTTCTCATATGCAGCTGCATATTCCTCTTCCTTGGCCAGTTGCCCAAAGACTTCGCTGACAAAACCAAAGAAGCCGGTGGGCGAGTCTGAGAAGTCGACGTTGCCCCTGAATTTGCCCATCATGCGTGCCAACTCATCTGCAGTCGTCATGCGCATGTTGCCTTGGTAGTGATCCTCGGTTGCTCCTTCCCCCGTGCCACCACGCAATATATCACCTTCGTGAGCATCGTACCAGGCGCGTTCCTGGTTGTCAGAAAGGACTTCATAGGCAGAGCGAACTTCGGCGAAGAGGGCCGTCGTGCGTTCGACATCGCCATAGTTGCGGTCGGGGTGAAGTTCCAGGGCCTTTTTGCGATAGGCCTTCTTCAGCCTGGGTCGAGTCAACAGTGGATGCACGCGACCATGTCGGAGGTGCCCTACTCGTCCTGTGTCGCCGTCCGCTCCACGCCCAGCAAGTCGTAGTAGCTTGTCTTGACCTCAGCACCACCATCAGACGTGCCCCCGCCAGCACTAGATTGCGACGCGCCCATGGTGAGGGGAAATCCAGGCCTGTCCCAGCTCTGACGCGGAAGATGACGGGCTACCGGTACTCCCCAAGTTGGGTAGGTACAAGCTATGTGATGTAACTCCTCCTCCTCCTTGCCGCTGTTCAGAAACGCACGATGGCAAGATGGCAAGATGGCAAGTGGTATTGCGCAGATGGGTCTGATTGGTCTCTGGTCTGATTGGCTGCGGACAGCAGAGGCAGAAAAAAATATTCTCGTTTGGGCGTTCCGTAGGCTGGTCGCAGTCAAGCAGGCCAGAGACGCCAAAGACAGCAACGCGACCCGACACGGCCCTTCGTGACGACGTCTGTCCCTCCTAGGTACCTATTAGTATGGATGGATGAGCTCGCTCAATCGAGCTACCAGGTAGGCTCGCCGCGTGATTGATCTGATTTTTTCTCTCCTTGTGTGTTCGGTTGGTTGTGACTTTTGAGTGGCTTCTGTTGTACTCATAAAGAGGCGCCTACGCCCCTCGTGCACGCACCCCTCCCCCGACCGTCTTTCTGGGCATGCAGACCGCAGGTACCCGTACATATCGTCACTGTAGTACTCGAACACTGTGACTGCATCCTCGATCGACTTCTGGGGTTCCTTTGCTTAGGGGCCATTAGGCATCACATCTCACACATCACCACGGACGCTGCTGAAAAGGGCATCATCACCTGGGGCCCGGTCAACTCGGTCACCTAGAACACGCCGTCCTCCACCGTCCACCGTCCACCGTCCACCGTCAACCCTCTTTCAGTCAGACCTGCAAACCTGCCACCTCCGCTCTCCATCGCTGTCCTCTGCCCTTGTTATACCGCGCAGCGTCCGAGAACCAGCTTTCGGATCGCCACAGGCATTCTGGCGCGCCAGATCTCTTAGCACGGCCCGCCCGACTGTGTGTCGGAACCCAGGAAGCAGGCAACCCCCGAATCCCGCGCGACACTGACAGCCAGTGGGCAGCCCACGTGCGACGACGCCTGGCCCTGATCGTCCTGATCGGCCAGCCCTACCACCGACAGTCCACCAGCCAAACATGAAGTTTGGGCACGTTTTCAAGCAGAGCCTACGCAATGAAGGCTTCCCTGCCGAGTGGGTCGATTCTGCCATTTCCTACTCGCAGCTCAAAAAGTGCATCAAGCGTCTGACCGATGAGCTGCAACAGGTGGGCCTCGACCCGGCCACCTTGTCCAAGTTGCTGAAGCATGTCGAAGACTACAATGCAACAGCCGGCCAGGATGACGACCAGGAGCGTCCGTTTGAATACATACTGAGCAGCGACAAGGGCAATGCCGCGTCCTTGAAATCACGTCAAGCTTTCCATCCCATGCTCTTGTTCCATGTGAATGAGTCCACTGGCGAAATACACAGCGCCCAGCTCGACGAAGAGACGAAGCAGAAGCTGCAGATGTTGGCGGTCGAGACTGGCATGACAGAGCTGCGTGTCTTTGACGATGCGGCATCCATCACGTCTTCTGATAGGGCAGACAATCAAGGACCTGCAGACGCCCCTGTCAATGGTACCAGGAGTCGGCCAGGATATCGTACGGTCGAAGTACCCATCACATCTGATACCGAGTTCTTTACTCGGCTCACGAGCGAAGTGTCGGGCTTGGAGAAATTGCAAGAGCGAGAAGAGAAGAGGATGCATGTCAAGATCGAAAACCTCGGCAGGCAGGTCGCCAGGTTAACGGACCCAGACCATCGGTCCAGCAGGAAGATGCTAGCCGCGTGGCGCCAGGTGTTTCAAATGTATGTCGAGGAGGGAATTTTCTTTGGGACCACGGAATTGGACCACAAGCCGCACAACGCAGACAAAGCTATGCAGCGACTGGCAGAGTTCTCGAATAAAGTAGCACAGGCTGGATTAGTGGAAAAGATGAGGAAAAAGGACAATCTCGGCGCGTTGAAGGCCTTTATGCACATAAATAGAGAGATTTTGCAAGGTCTTCGGTTTGGCGAGATCAACCACAGCGCCATGGTGAAGATTCTGAAAAGTATAGTAAACAGAGCTTGCCTTGTAGGAAGTTACATGCTGATATCGCACCAGAATTCGACAAGCGAACAGCCCTTGGCGTGAAGTCAACTTTCCCCCGCCAAATCGAGTATCCAGAGTTCTCCGAACACCTCGCAAAAGCTGTTTGCGCCGAAGTCAATACGCAAATCCTGTCCCACGTCCCTCAACTAGACGATTATTCGTGTCCAATGTGCTTTGAAATCAAGTGGCGGCCTGTGAAGCTCAGTTGTGGCCACACATTTTGCATACGATGTCTCATCGTCATGCAGAATAACAGACAGCACAGCTGCCCGTTCTGTCGGGAGAAAACAGTGCTTGCTGCGAACTCGGGTTGGTAACTCTATGCACCAAACATGCGTCGCGCAACTAATCAGTCTACCAGATAACCTGGATCAAGAACAAGCCGCCTTTTTAAAACGCTGGTTTCCGGACGAAGTCAAGACTAAGCAGCGATACAATGAGCTGATGGCTGGTGTCGATCAGTATGGCGAGGTGTATGCCAGTCAAAAGTGCGTTCTTATGTAGCATTAATCACTCTGAAAGGAAAGGCATGCTAAGTTTTCTTCAAGGTTCCTTCGAGGTGGCTCACTATGGTACGACACTGGCGCCCGTTGCGTTCAGAAAGCTATTGACTTACACCTTACAGGCATATGGTCTAGTGAACCCTGTCCGCCACGGGAGCGGACTCCTCAGGGCCTGTATTGTGCCACACTGTCATTCTGTTTATATGATCCCAAGATACCCGGCGCAATGATCATTGTTTTAATTCTGATGTTCTTCAATCGGTTACCTTCAAGCCCATGAGAATTGAAAGTATCTCCCATGCTATTCTGGTGAGGTATAAACGCCACCACTTAGTCTTGTAACAGATTCCGTATCATTCCCAGCAGATCATTCAAATCTTCTTCCTCAGCAGCAATGACCTTTCTCCATACGTCGCACCCAATACGCTTTTCCTCGGCTATTATGCTGAAATTTGGACTCGGTCCTACCTTCAACCACTTGAAATCGTCAATCTGATCCCATTGATTTGGCAGTTGTGATATCGCATCGGTAATCTATAAAGTTGTTAACCATGCTACTAGTCCTTACGATATGCTGAAGACGTACAAACGCATTTGGCAATGGCGCGAACCTCAACTCGCTGCAATCCTCAAATATAGGTCGACTACTTGTGTGCAGATATATATCTACATCCATCGATCCATGCATACGGAACTGGCGACACGCAGTCACAAGCACGCTGTGCTTGATATCTGTAATGTGGATTGCGCCGGCGACTTGGCCGCATATGATCAACGAATCTTGTATGTCTTTCAGGTATAGTGCAGCAAATGGCGTGTTGGAGGCTGTGGCGGCAGACAAATCGATGATGCAGTGCGAGAGATGGGAAAGTGTGCCTGCAGCTGTTGCATGAGATGCTGAAGATGGAAGGACAATGTGCAGATCTGAGAAGTGGGAGAGTGCGATTTGGGTCGTGTGGGAAAAGGAGGGGCGACGGATGCCGGTGCTATGGACTATGCTAGCATAGGTCTGAGGGTCTGTAGAGTCTGTGAGTGTTGTCTGTTGTTGTTCTGTGAACATTGCAGAAGAGGTTTCGCTAGTTGTGTCCGAAGAAACCTTAGAGAGACTTGATCCAGGCTGAGCCAAGATGGAAGCCTCAGGATCCTTTGTTGTAGTCGCAGCTTTTCGGGCCTTGAAAGTGAATCTTCGCGGTGGATTGAACGAACTTCTCGCAGCCTGAAGGCTCTCGGAAAGCGCTTTGATTGTCTTGATTTGTCAGTCTACAATTTTTTTTGCAATTCTGATTGGCAGTATTCATGCAGTACCTGACTGTAGGTTCTCTGATCGTAAGCAGGAACATAGGTCGAGGCATCCTTGACTTCATGAGAGAGCCGATCAATGCCAACCAGACAATTATCCACAATCTCGTTACATTCGCTACCAGATGCCGATTTGTTTTTGAGGCTGTCAATTTGCTCTTGGAGAGCTTTCTTTATTAGCTCTAGATATTCTCTCATTTGGTATATAATCCATCCTACATTGGACCGTATCTTGGAAGTGACGGAAGAACTGCTCCTTTAGGCCAGTTTCTGCAGAGGAAGTCGAAGTCGCCATGACACAAATCCTTTACGGACAGGATGTGGCTCTAGCGCTCGAGATGTGGCTGAGCTTCAATTCCAGTCCGCAATTTCTGTAGTGACAGGTCTGGGAATTGATTAGGTCACCAAAAGGTAGGGTCCAGGAATGGAAGCGCGTCGAAACATCCTGATTCAAAATGCCATTTGCTGCAAAATCAAATGTTCTCTAGTAAAGAGAGATGAGTGGCGTTGAAATCATCTTGAAAGTTCCTACTCCCCAAGTTTATGGAGCTCTGTCGAAGTGGGGTGTCGAACATGACGCTGACAGGTGTCGGGTGGTGGAGAAAAGTTTACCCGGCCTTTTGGCTCAACACTGGCAAGGATTCAGCTTTAACTTGTTTGGCGAATCTGATATTTGAGGCATGAGAGGTGATAGTGCATTTCGCCTAGATATGGGCTCAGATATTCTCTCCGAAGACGACGAGAACTACTGGTGGGTTGATGGGTGTGCGATTCATGGAAGCTGAGCATTGCCGTGAAGGGTGTGAGTGAGTGATCGAAATCATTATTTACACGAGCCGAAAGCGACCGCATCTCTGCAGCCGAAGTCTTATGTTTCGAATATGGAAAGAAAAACTATAGTGTATCTAGCCTGACTCCTGTGCGGCCTTGACATCGATGCCGTACTTGGCGAGCAAGCGCTGTCGCCTACGCTCCTCATATCCAGGCGCATAGATACCTGGCACTTGTTAGATGTTGCGTGGTATGAAGGAGCACTGCCAATATACCTCGTCCCTCGCCCAACTGCTCTATCGTTTCAGACAAGGGCCGCCTACGCAGCTTCTTCAACTGCTCCCTGCGCTCCACTTCGCCGTCGTCATCCGCTTGACTGCCTGCGCCATGTAGGCCGCGGGTATACTCGAACGCAGCCATGATGGTGGCGAGCGTGGCTCCTCCACCTAGCATAAATGGCAGACTGCGCCCTGTGTACGCCTCAGTGATAAATCCACGATGGAGTAGATGGTCAGGACGTACTAAAGACTCCAAGACATGATCCACTGACAAAGCCTGCCATGGCGTGGCTGTAGCTGTCCTCCTTTTGCCGCAGGTTGCTGGCCACGTCCAAAGTGAATTGGTAAGTGAATCCCGCACTCGCTGCGCATCCATTAGCAACGTCCAGCGCAGCACCACACGGCGGCCAGTGGGGAGATTCGCACCATAGAGGGCAATGATGCCGCCCGAGCGGGTGAAGATGCCCATGGCTCCGACATTTTCCTTGCGCAGCGTGTTCTGCACACCCGCCAAAATGGCGCCGGCAGCCGTCGTCTGCAGCGTGGTAATGGCCGTGTTGTGGAGGGCGTCGCGGGGTTGGAAAGTCTCGGAGTGGTCTGCCATGGCAGGCGAACGTGTGGACGTCGTGGTTGTGGTTGTAGTTGTGGGCTGGCAGTGGACGTCGTGGGCTTTCTGGCTTCTGAAGCCAGCAGCTGTTCCGACGTCGTTGTTGGAGCGGGTTCACTAGCGCCCCGGGGGAAGCTTGAGCAGGCGCGTCAACCATGCCGACCAAACTGGGCCTAAGAGCCCCAGGCAGCGCTGGTGTCATTGTGTGGCGCGCCACAACCTTCAGTGCGGCTGGATCTGTGACTTGTGGGAGGACGCAAGATGGATGGTGAATGGGCACGTCGGCTTTACCATACCTGTCGCACACGGCAGGATGTCCTTGCTGGCTGCCAAACTACGAACCACTCCGCTGTACGATTGCTAATCTATTCCCATGTTTGCTATGCCCGCCATCCATAGCAACGACTCTACAAATGCGAGCCATGTCTTTTAGGGTGTTGCCGCCGCCTACAATTTCTGCTTGAACACAACCCACATTCACTCACACTCAGACTCACACACACACATACACACATACACATATGCTCCCCTCTCCACCCCTCTCCATATCGCTCCTGCGCCCCGTCCGTCTAGCTCCTCGCCCTCGTCCTCCCCTCCCACCCTCGCACCAAGTCCATCTCTGCCTCGTGGCTCTACCTTCATCGCCAATCCCCACCGCCTAGCAGACGCCACTTTCTAGCTGCTCCCCACACATGGCAGCAGTCATGGCGCCCGGTACAGCTGCTGCAACCGTTCTGTCCACTGCTTCAGGCATGCTAACGGTGCCCGCACAGGCAAGACGTCGCCACGACTGCTCCAGGACCTCCTCACATACGACGCCCGCTATGAGGATCGCGCAGGCCGCAATCTCCTGACCACTGCCCCTCCACAACACGATCCCCGCCAGCCACCTATCGCTGCCGTGCCTTATAGGAACTGCAGGCATGTCCTCCTCACCAAGATCGAGCAGTCGCAGCTGCCCCGTGCTGGCCAACCGCTCGACGAGACCACGGTGCACAAGGTCGCCTCCTTCTGCAACAAATGTCGCTGGCACTTCGACGTCGTGGTAGACTTCCGCAAAGAGAGCGGCCACGTCCACCGGGCATGCAAGCGGGGAAATGAGGATTATGCTCTACACCACTTCCTGTACGAAGGCGAGGACGACTCGAATGGACTCGATGCCATGGGAGGTCGACAGCGACCCCGCACCTACCGTTTCCGCTGCTCGGCGCCGCCATGTCGTGTACCCCTCAGCGTCACCATCAAGCCACCGAGATTCTCAGACCACGATATCGAGACGTTGACCAACCAAGCCCAGCTAAGACAGAGATGGGAGAGAGCCAAAGAGTTGGCTGGCGACCGCGCAGATGCCGTCATGGCTCGTCCCGTCGACGCACCCGACTACCTGAACACGTACCTCCACGACTGCCTGAACCCAGCCAAGGGCAAGGCGCGCATTCCTCTCTTAAACCGCAAGTTTCTCAAAACCTTTGGCAAGGACTGTGACTCGATACTCACCCGCCTGGGGTTCACAAACAGTCTCGAGGAGGAAGAAGATGAGTCCATGGCTGAAGTCTGGTACCTCCCTCGGCCAGATGAGGCCGCTGATCCCTTGACAAGCACCCTACGCAACACTGTCGAGGACGCTCGCTACGAGCTGAACACCCTCTTGCTCGAGTACCCGGAGGCTGAGCGGACAAGGTGCAGGCATCAGCCCATGTATCCTCCAGAATCTCGCGGAGACATGCAGAAAGTGCTCGCGTGTGATGACTGTATGTTATGAGTTTTTCCTGCTAGAATGATACTCATGTACGCTTACAGACGCCAAACTGGCCGGACGCATAGAGACTCGTAGTGCGAATCACGAGGAAGATCATCCGTACGATCAGTGCTTTATCCTTATCTCAGATCCATTTGCTAATCACTATACAGCTACTACGCAAGCCTTGGTGCGGTTGGTGATTTTGCCGATTCCCTGGTCTTGTTTGCCTTCTCTCGCCAAGTAGAGACAGATCTCGCCAATCAGTCTTACTATTTCGAGTGCTTGCAAGATTTAGCTGTTGGTCGGAATAGCGAAATGTTGCAGACGCAAGTGAGCCTCATGGCTTCCAAGGGGGTCACGAGTAAGCGCGACTTGGACGCCGCATACAAGTCGTTCGGTATCGACCCAGCCCACGCGAGCGTCATCGGCGATGATCACATCATTGGAAGCTTCAGGGCTCGTCTATCTGACATCAGCCCTGTACAAGCCGAGGAAGCCCGCAGACAGCTACGCATTTTAGGAAATGCCCGCGATAGCGATAGGATAAGAGCTGAAGCGGCAGATGCAATTGAGACGTTCGAGCAAGCTATGGCGTGGTTTGAGCTAGAAAAGAATCAGCCCGACGATTTCGTTACGACGATGTTCACGTTGAAGGTTTGTTCGTCTTCATTGTGGCAAAGTAAGCGGTGCTAACCTGACGCGCACCCCAGACCCAAGACAACCCCTCTTGTATTGATAATGCACGCAAGGCACTCTCTATAATAGCCGAAGAACGACAAAGCGAACGTCTGCGCCAATTCATGAAGTCAGGCACCATGACAGAGCCTGATATGGATGTGGGCGAAGCATACGCCCTGTTCAGTGTCGACAACAGAACACTTCCTCTTGATCTGGATGTCCTGCAGACCACAGTCGATATCGCGCCTCCCGCTGACGTGGAGAAACTTCAAAAAGCCTTTGCCATCATTCAACAAGATCAAGCGCAAAACTTCGACAACCGCATCGGTAAATCGGCGCAGCAAGCAGAAGCAAGGCGCAATGAATACCCATTGGAAACATGGCCAGTAGGCCTCCGTAATATTGGCAACACCTGTTATCTCAACAGCGTCCTTCAGTTTCTCTTCACCATCAAACCTTTGCGTCAGGTGATCCTGAATTGCGACGAGTACTTTGAGGTGCCCGTGCCTGAAGTCATATCGAAGAAGAAGGTTGGCCGTGCCACTGTGACGGTCCAGAGGGTCTTGACAGCGCAAAAGTGTAAGTGCAATGAGTGACTTAATCTAGCCGTGCTAATGGTGTACAGTTGTCCGTGAGCTTCGAATGTTCTTTGAGCAGATGATTACCGCACCTACCGACACAGTACAACCTGCAATAGACCTAGCTTCATTGGCGCTCTGCAGAACTGATAATCCAGACACAGCGGCGGAGGTGCTCAAATCTAGCAAACCCATCGAGACAAGCCTTGGATCTGTTGACGGAATCGCCATCAGTGGTCCAATGCCTCAAGCGGATAGTGGAAAGGATGCGTCAATCTTGGCCGACTCAGTCATGGGTGAAGAACAAATTGAGCCTGTTCCTGGGGATAGAGAAGATGCTAAGAGTGACACATCAATGCAAGCAATGGACTTAGGCACCGAAAGCGATCAGACTGTACCTGCACCACCAGAGCGGCCTCCTCCTATTCCACCAAGGCCGGATGTTCAGAATCGCATCAAAATCGGGAGACTGGAGGAAAGTGCTCGACAGCAAGATGCAGCAGAAGTCATGGGTAATATTTTCGATCTCGTCTCTTGCGCGATCAAAGGCGAAGATGTGATGCGTGAAGGCGAGCAGTTCGACACTATCAAGAAGCTCTTCTACAGTGACGTCACGACAGTGCAGAAGACAAAGAGAGGGGTAGAGAAGTTGAGTGAGCTCAGAAATCACTATCTTGTCTCACCAGGTGGCCGTGATCGCCCAATGTATGCGACCCTTGACAACGATTTTGGGTTGGGCGAAATGGAAGGCGGTGGTACGCGCTATGATTATATTGAGCAAGCCGCCCCTTTCCAAATCATTAACGTCCGTCGTTTACAGTTTGAAGGCGGTAGCCCACAGTACAATCGCTCACACATTGGACTCGACAGTACTTTGTACATGGATCGATACTTAGCCAAGACCAAGTCATTAGATGAGTTGCAATTGTTGAGACTTCGAGAAGTTCAATGGACAAAGCAGCAAGAATTGCGCGAAATCGAACATGAGAGGCAGAGACTTCAAGCGACAGAAATCGAGGGGTTGGATCTCGCTGCCACTCTCGAGGAGACCAGTGTCTTTCTAGACAACTTTATGGTCAACAAGTCAGACAGAACAGAGGTCGCAGATGAGCAACAAGAGCCCCTACTCAATCCATCAATGGAGCTCGTCGATGCTCTTCACAATAAAGCTCAGCATCTCCAGAAGGATCTAGAGTCTATGGAAGAGCATATAAATCAGCTTGAATCAGATATTGACGGCGTGTTCAAGGAGTGTCACGATCATCCATACCGTCTTCACGCCGTGTTCACACATAGTGGTGACATCAAGGGTGGTCACTATTGGATCTACATATACGACTTCCAGTCCGGCATGTGGAGGTCCTACAATGACGACCGCGTCACCATTGCCGATGAGGCACAGATCTTCCAACGCGAAGACGGTTCCATACGGCCTCATGTCAGCACGGGTGTTGTGTATGTACGAGCTGATCTCGCAGAAGAATATACTCAAGCTGTGTGCCGTCAACCTTTGACATCCGAAAACCAGAGGTCTGGGGAGACGGCTACCGACACGCCAGATGTGGTTATGGGCGATGCCACAGATGTCGTGCCAGTCTCTTCGCTGAATCAGATCAGGTATCACGATCTGGGCGTACTAGAAGGAGTGGAAAAGCAGTAAGCTTGCTGATAAGCTCACTCCTCTTCATTTCTTCTTTGCGGTCGTCGCCGCTGATTGGGGTTATCTTCAGCTGTGTCGCAGAGCAGAAAAAGCTTGTGCACTGCGAAATCTAGGCTTTCCCGGAGAAACCATTGTAGGAAAGTCACGGTGAATACACGAGTCTCACCATAAGACACACAATCAGACTACTTGTTTTACAAGCCTTCGGAGCGATTCGGATGTCAAGACTGAGACTTCGGAGGGCTAGGGAAAGTGGAGGGACCAGAAAGTGTAGCAATACTGATCGTGGCGCTGGCTGCTCTGTTTGGCACATGCATGGACGGCTTCTCTCGAGCTTTGCACAGAGATGCCACGGGGACACATGCATGGCAATAGCAACACACATCAATAATATGGGCTTTGGTCTTATGATCCTCGAAATCTTTTGGACTGCTTGCACCCTGACTATTGACACTTGCAGCTTACCATCGATTTGCTCCTATCCGTCGATACCACGTGCTGGCAATCTATTGTTCCCACTGCTTCTCACGATCCCGGCGGAGCCCTTGACCTACTCCATTGTCTTGTTCCATTTTCTCGATTCAAGCTTAACTCGATTGTCACGCTAGGCAAGCTTATACACACATATGAATCACTGAACTTTCGTTCCCCTGATAGAAACTTTTGACCAATTTTGTGGTTGAGCCGGAGCGCAACACAACCGAGGGAAATCGAATTATTGCATCACTACTAGAACGATTCTCTACTGCAAAATGACGCATTTCAACACTACCATCAATATCAAGCTAGTGTAACATTCTAACTGACATCATGCCACCCACAAGCTGGCTCAACATCGTCTTGATACAATCTAGGAAATGGGTAATAACTATGTTGCTTTGGGCGGACATGAGAATGGGTGTCGTCACATACAGCAGCGCATCCCTGTCACTCATACAATTTAGAGGTCTTGCTGATCTACCTTGGCTTCGTCTTATGACGCATTCGGATGACACCTGCGTACCGTGATGCAGATTTTCGAAGCGCAGCTTGCTACCAAAGCCTCTCTTGTGCTCCAGGACGAGTGGTATGGCTGCAATAAAAGTGTCATGACTGAATCACAACTCTTTGTAGTTGCACTCTCTTTTCGAATGCGTCTCCATTTCCCCCGTGACACGTTTAAACAGCATGCCTCTTCCTGCCACCCCCTCTCCTCCAGTTCCACAATGCCTCCTGCGCAAGTGTCCGTGCAGTGAGGTGGCCCCTCGTTCTATTTGCCTCCTCAGTCAGAGTCTCTATCACACGTCCTTCCTCAATGCAGCTCCACAACCCTGCGGCCATGGCACTACCCACGTCCTCTTCATCTCCCTCATCATCCATATCCGGGTCCTGGACAACCTGCACTGGGCCATCAGTATCCTGCCTAGCCTTCTCAACGCCAAACTCTCCCTGTCCAAGTCTGTATAGTATCCGTCCTAGTGTCTGATACGCCATACATCGTTGTGCAGCAACTTTACTCCTTGCTAGGACCGCTAATTCTGGGATCGTGTATCCTGCTGCCTCAGGCGCGTCAGCGTGATGATGCAGACCCCTGTCGCTTGGTAGAGATCGCGCAACACTAGGTGGAAGGAGCGCGCCCTTGAAGTCAAAACGTAATTCTGTAGCGTTTAGGCCTGTTTGTGAGGGGTGATAGGGCGACGATTTATCGGAGGGGTCTATTGGTGCCATCCATGATAGTTTACTTGGATCGTAGGGGAGAGAGGGAAAGTATTTGGCATGTAGGTCTTTGAGGAAGGAAGGGTCGTTCGGATCGAGTTCCGGGAGCTGCGGTGGGCGCGGGAAATGTATTGCGTCTATTACAGTGTCTGGTAATGGCGTGGTTGTGCGTGATAGAGACTGTGAACCAGATATGTGGGATCCTGTGGTTGGAGCCTCACGAGGAGGCGATTCGTGATTTGATCCCTGGGCTGTGAACGAAACCTTCTTCATACTTGAAGAGTTCGAAGCTGATGATCTTGTAAACTCGTTTCCCTTTTGATTTGGTTTCGAATCCTCTCTATCAGCTATAGAACTTGTCCCGGGCGATTCCTCAGGATAAAGGTCTCGCTCATTGCTCCCATCATTTAGACTTGACCTCATCAGCAACTTCTGTAATAGTTCAGGACTGAGACTCGACATTAGATCCTGTCTCTCCTGTTCAATCTCTGCATCTGACATGACAGCAAGTGTGCGTCTGTTCTCTTCATCTATTGCCTTTCTCTCCGCGTCAGCATCGAATCCTGCGCTCGACGGTTTTGGCGCAGCTTGTGGTTTTGATGCGGTAGCCACGGCTTGTTGATCTCTCGATGCGCGTTGTCGCTTGAAAGCCGATTCCTTCGGCTGCCGCTTCTTATGCGCCGGGAAACCATTTGCGTTTGCTTTCGGGAGGGGCGCGACCGGTGGGGTTGATTGGGACGAGTCACGCTCTTGAATGTCGCCTATGAAGGAGGGAAATGTGTAGGTCGGGGTTGTATGATCGACTTCAGGCTCCAGCCTTTCAACGGTGCCAGTATCGAAGTTGAGGTTTACGCGTTCCCCCCGTTGAAATTCCATGGCAGCTACTGGTGTTTGGTGGCAGGGCACAAGCTTGAAGGATGGTCAGTTGGGTGACGATGTAAATTATATGCAGGGCTACCACTAGCGCTTGGCTAATACAGCCCCAAGGGAACCGGTCATTTAGACAAAAATAACTAGTTCAGCGTGGCGTATTACGCGACACGCTTGCATGTGAACATCTTGATACAATCCGTAGTAACAAGTTATGGAAATTAGAACAAATGTGGCTGATAGCACTCAAATAACCTATGAGATTTATCTCTCGCACGAGCCAGCAGGTGGCAGCCCGTGGCCTTGCCGAGAGCATCACAAAGGACCCATATCAAGCTGAACGATAGCAATCTTGTATTAAGCCAACAATACATCAAATCAAAACAATATGCTGGTTCCGTAACTCATGAATAGGCAGGCATCTACCTCACATTGCTGGATCCAATCCGAAGTCGTTTCCGAGGATACATCATGCTCACCATCCACCACGAATCCGTCTGAGCTTCCCTCTACCTCCAACCCTTCCTGCTGTAATACGTCTCACCCATCTTCGAATCGCCCATCCTCTTGCTAATGCCTGAAAAGCTAATACATCCTTCTCCAATTGCTTCTTCCTCTGCTCTAGCACAGCCCTCCAACGCTGCTGGATCACAGTCGCAGCATCCACCAGCCTTTGCCTCGCTTGTGCAACAATAGCAGCTTCATGTGCGAGTTTAAGCAAAACAATGTGTTGGCGCGTCTGTCTGCGCACAACGTGCTTCCGAAATGCACTTTGGATGGTTGACGCGGCACGGTGCATCATACTGAGCGGTAGGAGGCGCGATGCGAGAAAAGATAACGTGAGGAGTGTGAAGTCGCGTGAGGGAATGGAGCGGGCGTTGTGGCTTGATGTAAAGAGCGAAATGAACGACGTAGAACAGCCTATCGCGCGAAGTTTGGCGGTGAGACTGGACTTGCCGTCAACAGAGAGTGTGTCTGGCAGATATCTGTCGACAATGGTCTCGAGGACTTTTGGATCGGCGAAGCTGGTTGTGAGATTTGATACGCGCAGTCCTTGGAAGCGAGCGATCGAGCGGGACCAGGAGAGAAGGACACGCGTGTGATATACCAGCCCATCCACATCGGTTGTGAGATCATCTTCGTCTGAGTCCAGCTCGCGCTCACCAAAATTGTCGCGAGTCCTGTACCACTGCTGACGAAAGCGCTCGGTCTCCTTCACGACGTGAGGCCAGTCGACCAGCCGTCCCAGTCCACACTTACCCACAAGCGACCACAAGAGGCTAAGCGTCTTCTCGCGGTGTCCGTCAACAATTTCCTCCGCTCGAATATTCCTGACTGCATGGCTTGGGACATTGTGCTCCCTAGTTAGAGCTGAAAGGGCGATCTGAACATTGTACACTTTCTGCGCACGGCCGATCGCAGGATACTTTAGATGTTGAGAGAGAACCCAGCTCTCCTTTTGCGCAAAATCGAATGAACTGGTAAGTGATTCTCCAGTGGGCATCGCGATCGCCACACTGTCTTCGTTCTGTGCAACAAGTGCTGAAGGTGAGTAGAGCAACAGCTCTACAAGACGTGTTAACATAATACCATCACGGAGGTCGATGGCAATATTTTCAATGTGATAAGTGTACTCCTGTAGTGGATACTGCACATGTTTGACCTTGTAGGTAAGGTGGCCTAGAGGACGGGTGATGTCACCTAGTGATGGTAGCAGCATGTGTGAGAGCTGATGCAGAACTTCGACAGATGTTTTGTGAGTTGACGTTGATTGGAATAGACAACCAGGGAGGATAGCGGTTGACTTCGCCTTGTCTAGTAAGAGAATGAGCATCAGACTTCGCAGTACTGTACGCCTCCATGACCAACCCTGAGATCCGAAATCGTCGTCATTGCGGGTGAGGCTAGCAATGCTACCACCTACTGTCTTCACGCGCACAGCATCCTCGTTCTTGATAAGAAATGCGTCCAAGAAAGCTTCGATCGCGCGTCGCTCGGCACGGTATTGACGAGAACCATCGTCTGAAGTCGTCGAACCAGTGGACAAGCGGCATGGCGTTGCGATTTGACGACCAATAACGGTTTCAGCTGCAGCGCGGAGAGCACTGAGATCGTATGACTTCGTCCACAGGTTGAGAAACTTCTTGCGCAAACCCACGTCATCTTTCAGTCTTGAAGTCTGTGCGAGAAGGTCTTTCGGTATGCTCAAGGCACCGTACTGCAGAGAAGCTTGGAGGCGCTTGTGCAGTGATGGTATAGATGGATCGTGGTACAAACTCAGCATTTTCTTGCGCAAATCTGCAGACCTTTGTTCAAGGTTGGAATTAGAGTTGGCTTTGTCGAAGACTGCATTCAGAAGCTGGGTTATGGCTACCTCTTGGTAAGTGAGCCAATTATCCTCGTAAAGCTCCGGTTGCGCCAAGTCTTCATCTAGTACAGGGTACTTTTCTGGTGCTTGTGATCGCTTGCCTACAACGTGCATCATAGTGACCGGTGCCTGTTCAGTTCGTTGTCGGCGAAGTGCGGTGGGAGGGGAAATGTTGGTTGAGAAAGGAGACGATGAGAGTGGTACACGCTTCGTTCTTGCCAGTTTTGCCCTCTCTGCTTTGATGGTTGTGCGCAATGATGCCCTACTATTTACGATGGATGCAGTCGCATCTGCTCTTGATTTGTGCGCTTTGGTCGGCGCGTCATCATTGATTGTAGGCGGCCGCGCCCTTTTTTGGGTACCCTCTGGCCGTTTCTTCGCGTGATGCGTTCGCTCTACTTCTTTCACCCCGTCGAAATGAACCTTGGAAGACTTTGTAACAGGCTTCTGGATGTCTGCCGCAGAGAAATTGATTTCAATGCGGTGAGTTCCGTTGCCCTTGCTCTCTAGAATCTCCAATCCAGGCGGCAGGTTCTCCTTCCCACCACCTTGGCCCATGATATCGCTTGAGAAGGAGACGCTTTGTGTCGAACGCGATGAAGTACTCAGTGGTCCGCGTTTTGGCGGAACGGCAAGCGACTTGCGCGGGGCTCTCTTCTCGCGCTTCAGGGCCGGAAGCAGATTGTTCCCCTCTTCTTCTGACAATGTGACCAGATCCAGCCCGATGTCTGGAGACTTTTCTCTTGGATTTCGTGGTACGTGTGTCGACTGTCCAGGGTGAATTGTTACCACGGTAGTATCGTCAGATGGGACGTATATGGTTCTTCGACGTGGGTCTTTCTTGGGGCCTAGCTTCTTCGAATCCCTCTTCTCCAGCAGGTCTTCATGTAGCTGTACTGTCGCATTCATATCGGACAAGTGGCGTTCGGACAGAGCGTGCGAAACGCGTCCTCGCTGTTGTTTCTCTGGAAGGGACTCTTGAACGCGCGGAAGAACAGCCTTTGGGATTTTTTGCGCCGGGTGCGATAGGATGGTGCTCCTCTTCTTCCGTGCACCATCTGGCATCACAGACGCGCGAATCCTCCTCTTCACCCCTAAATCTGTCTGCTGATGGTGGTGCTTGTCGTCATCCTCCTGCGCGACATCTTCAAAAATGTCCAGTGATGGGTTGAATGCAGGTTTGTGCAAGTTGCGCACCGGTCTCCGTGGTTTTGTCTGGCGTGGTCGTGCATCAGCCTTGACCTCTGTCGTGTATTCGATGTTTGCGGTGGTGTCGTCTGGTGCATAGCCTGGCGCGTATGCAGACAGGTCATATCCACGGTCACTGTAGTAGCTGCCGGCATAAGATGATTGCGGTGCCGGACATGGCGTGCCCGCGGTGTATCGGTACATGCTTAGTGATTGAGATATGTGCAAATAGCAGCCAGATCGCGCAATAGCAGGTGAGCCTTGGTTTGTTCAAGGGAGTTCGAGGTTTCTTGATGCTTGGGGCGTTGGCGCTTACCCGAAAGTGGCGTGTCTGTGCACCCTTGCAATGTTGTTGAGCTGAAGAATGGTTACTAGGGCAACCAACGCACCTGCCTTGGGCAAGACCATACTAGCAGCCATGTGAGGAGTAGGTAGGCTTCACTGCTGACATTTGGAGTCATTATCTGTGTCACTACGTATCTTGGTAGAAGCATCTCAACTGCCTATGAATGGTGCCTCTTTTACATGCCCTTCACTTGGCAAGCTCTCACGGCATCTCTCTGCCAGCGCGTATGGCGTTTGGCAGCCTCTGACTGAGCGCGATCCTCTGTATAGCGCTGCGAGATTGGCAGATGAGTCTGATATCTCAATTGATGCCCCGAGGTTGACTGGCAAGTTAATAATTATTCTCACTACGATGCTTATCACAGCATCGTACCTAGACTGGACTGGTCACGACGTGGGTGGGGTAAGCCCCTGACCGAACTCAGTACCTGAACATACTCAATCGCAAGTTGGAGTCTGACTAACATCATTGCCCCTCCTTAGATGACTCTTTAAAGTTGAGAGGATGAATTTTCCACGGTTGGCTGGGCATATGCTTTTATTTTGTTCCGAATCTACTTCTTGAACCTGTGCATTAGTCTCTCCGCATCTTACTTCTGTCTCATTCTACTGGCCCGACAGCATCATCCCCCAATCTTAAAGCAATATTAGGAGTTATAGATTCCAGTTATATATATCGCCCTTGGGGATCAAGTTTATCCATGAATTCCATCGATTTCTCGTACCTCGACTGGAATTAGCTTGTACAACAGAGAAGTCATAGCGCAGACTCACATAGTGAAGACGATACCACCACTGAGAATCAAGCGACCTAGTCGTGGGATTGCGCCTGACCAGAAGGTCAAGATTCCTTCGTTTCGAAAGATTTTGGCTACACAATCAAAGCTGTTTTTATAAACAGCCCGCGCTTCTATTGACTGCATACGCGTCTTCACGGTATCGATGGGCATAGTGGTGTACACTGTTATGATACCAGCAAGACCGCCGAGGCCAAAGGTGCTCACGGCTCCCAGCTTCTCTCCTGGCGCAACGTACGACTGTGCTAATTGCTTGAGCGATGTGTAACTAGAGAACCGTACGGCCGAGTTGGCAGCCTGTCGTGCAGTCGTGGGAAGGAAACCCTGGAAGAAGCCGCGGATGCCCTTTTCTTGCGCAATGATCCTCGAACCGTGGAGGAAGCCTCGCATGCGAGGTTTTGCGGCTTTCCGATCGTCAATTCTATATGAGCGTCAGTACTTTTGTCATGTCCAAGACTGGGCACAGGCAGCTTACAATTGTGTCTTGATACTCTCGAATGGCGTTACTGCTAACAGGGACTCTGTGGCTCCAGCACCAAAGCCTGCAATTACTGTCGCAGGACCTGATACCTTGCCCTCGGCATCTGCGAGCAGATTCTTGTACATGTCAAACGCGACGAATCCTGTAGTTTATCAGAGCCGTGTCTGAACACGATCAGACTGCTGCAAACGCACTTATGCCGGCCTTCAACGAGTTGCCGATGATCAAGGTTGTGCATCCTGCGTACCATTGCTTGCCAAACGGTGGCCAAGGGAGCTTCTTTCCGTCTGCCAGTCTACGATTGAGTTGGGAGCGTGTCTTGGCGACTGCGAGCTGGTTAGGGGGGTTGTTCTGCACGACGTGGGATTGCAGCCTGCGTACACTCGGCGGGGTATGTGATTGCTGTGTCAGAGTCAGTGCCGTATACGGCGAAGACGGGGCGGAGGATGATTACATATTTCTACAGCTCCTGCCGTTGCGCCTGCTAAGATGGACCGCATTGCGCTCGGCTGCGATTGGACTGATGATTAGCAGTAGAAACCACCAAGACGACTGCATGCCCTGACCTTCCTCTTCTCTGTGGATGCGGTTGCGGTTGCGGTAGCCATGATGGCGCGTGCTGAGCCACTGTCCTTCTCGTGAAGCGCGCTACAAGAAAATTCTCCAAAGCTGGCGCTGGGGGCCTTCGCCTGACTATCGCGTGCGGATGATGGAGAGGCCTAAGTTGGGTGGTGGGCGTGCAGAGAGCGGCGACGTAGGTAGAGATGAACAGTTACGAGTAGGCGATTGTGAATTAACCGCAGCGCAATACTCTACACTAGGCCAATTCATAGACAGTCACAGGTTCTGCAGTGGCATGGCAACGTTGCTGGGCGAGATGGAGCAAGCAAAAGAGATACCGCTATCTGTCTCATTGGAATTGAAGCCCCTCGGGCCTCGTCGCCAGCCGATAACGTTAGTGGCGGCGATGGCATATAAAAGTGATCGGAGTTTCGACTACCTTGACCGCCTTCGCGAAAAAAGTGCAGAACTTCAACAGCGCTATCAACATCATCATTTCTGCATCCTACACACTCACACACTCACACACTCACACACTCACACACTCACACTCACACTCACACACTCACACACACACTCACACTCACACTGCACACTGCGCATACAGCGCACACAGCAAACACACCGCACACACACACACACACACACACACACACACACACACACACACCACCATATACCCTCATCACTATACACACAATCGTCTCTCATCTGCTTCACCATGCTCGCCGTGCGAAACCTCGCCCGCAGCGCCCCGCGATCAGCAGCCCGCCTCTCCACCAAGGCTGTCCGCCAGCCTTCGTTGTTGCGCCAGAGCACCGCTTTCCAGCCAGCATGGACGCCCGCCATCCCAAGACTCACATGCGCCTTCTCCATTTCGGCGCGGAGACAAGAGAGCACTGCTGGTATGTATTCGCTCTCTCCCATTCGTCGCACGAGACGGTGCGGGAAGACTAACAATGGCGCAAGTCAATGACGAGCTGGTCGCAAAACTCCAGAGCGAAATCGCCATGGAGGAGGATATGAAGGAGGACGACGATCTCTCTGCAAACATCAAGGAGTACCTGGAGAACAGCCCTTTTGAGATTGAAGACCGGCCCGGCCACCAGGAGGTCGTTCTGACGCGCACCTTTGGTGACGAGAAGATTCGCCTCACATTCAGCACCGCCGACCTCAACAACAACGGGCCCGAAGAGGAGCTTGCTGAAGACGGTGCCATGTACGATGATGCCGACATCGAGGGCCAGTCAGGTGGCGCCAACACCAAGGGCGCCATCAACCAGGGCAGGACACAGGATGGCAATGTACGCGTCGCACCCGAGGACCGTGTTTCGCCTGCTGACCGTGAGGAGCTCGAGGATGACTACGAGGACGATGGCCAGCAGCAGGGCTTCCCTGCCCACGCCAGCATCCGCATCGAGCGCCCTGGCAAGGGTGCGCTTTCCATCGAGGCCACCGCTCAAGATGGCGATTTCCTGATCGAGGACCTCGTATACTTCCCCTCTGCCGACCTCGCTGACCCGGCCACCGCTGAGAAGGACTGGCAAAGGCGAACGCTCTACACCGGCCCTCCCTTCAACAACCTCGACGAAGACCTACAGATCTTGCTCGAGAAGTATCTCGAGGAGCGCGGCATCAACACCCGCCTGGCCCTCTTCATTCCCGACTACATAGACCAAAAAGAGCAGAAGGAGTACATCAGATGGTTGAACAGTAAGTCGGGACTGCCGTCTACACCAACCTAGAACAAATACTAACTTATTATAAGATGTCAAGAGCTTTGTTGAGTAAGCGGCCATCATGCAGTCGGTAATTGCGACTCTTTCCTCATACCATTTCGTAATGCATCGTTCCTCTCGTCAGTCTTGGGGCATCTAACGGCCGTGTAAAAAGTTGGCGGGGTAGTGTCCCCAGGCATGTGTAAAGAATAAGCCCAAATGTCCTCATTTCACACTTAATTAGCACAAAAATCACTATTCCACTCTCATCTCACTTCTATCTATTTCTGTACACCTGATGTCGTTGATGTCGTTGGCTTACTATACAGCCCCGCCCGGTCCCATGGCTTTGTCGAGACAACAAAGACCCGCTTCCGGCCGCGAGGTTTGCTCGTCTGGGGTTTGGCGACAACAAAGCCGACACCATCAGCTGCACGCATCCACAAGATAATCATACAGCCATGGACTTTTATCTGGCCTGTTTGTTCGCTGCGCTGCGCATATAGCTAGACATGCATTCCGAAACACATTCCACAGTACATCTTCGAAGCCCGCTTGCGGTGACCATGCAGTATTACCGGAGCCGGAAGCCATTACGTCGCTCATAACTTCAGGTTTGCCACGATTCCCTTCTCGAGGCATTTGTCGATCGATCTCGTATTGAACAGCCGTCGCTCACAGTGTTGGGTTCTTATTTTCTTCGGTGTCCTTTGTGTACAAGGGGGAGAGATGACGCTCACTGTGTTCCCACGCAACGTACCTTCAACCGACAAGGCGCGCATTCCAACACCCAACCTGCCCCCACCCTACACCTGGACGGGCACAAGACCTGGTGAACTAAGGTATGTCGTCCACGTAAGGGAGCTCATTTTGTGACCCAGTCACAAGGCTCCATCCTCTACTGCGCATAGCAAACTAACCCACCCGTGCTTCGTAGAGCCAATCCCTCCGACTTCACTCGTACCTCAACCCTCCTCATAGGTCCCAAAGCCACGCCATTCCACATCCACACTTCTCTCTTAACGAGCCAATCCTCCTACTTCCGCGCCGCCCTCACTGGCCCCTTTCTCGAATCCTCCTCCAACACAATCACCCTTCAAGACATTGACGTTTCACATTTCCAACTGCTTGTCTCCTGGCTCTACACCTCTGTGCTCCCTGCGCCTTTTAAAGATGGACGACCCGCTTACTACACATTACTACACGTATACACGCTGGCGGACCGTCTCGGCCTCGAAGCTGCCAGAAACACTGTGGTGGATGTCATCAGTGAACTGGCCGATCGCACAAACAGCGTTCTGACACCTTCCGATACCCGCATACTGTACGAGCAGATTCGTGACTCGGCACCCCTGCGCACACTCGTACTCGATCTCTTCGCCTTCAAGAAGACAGATCGACTGCTCGAAGGACACAGTGATTGGTGGCACGCCGCATTCCTCCGTGACTTGACTGTGCAGCTCAAACGTCCATGTGCACAGGCTATGCAGCGCCATCGTCTACGCATGTGGTGTCCCGAATCATGGCACGTCTCTCGGTCCTGCGATCATTGCCGTGCCGTGCTTCCTCCGCGGTATGGTGCCGTCGCATGTGAGGACTGCTGCTTGGCGTTTTGTACGCGCTGCGTGGAGGCTGGTGTTGCCATGGCCGGCTGGGAGGACGGTCGGGGCAAGTGGGAGGTTGTCGAGAACGAGGAGGCGGATACGTCTGGCGGAGCGAGTGGAGAGGGAGGTGAGGTGAAGCGGATGAGAAAGTGGGAAGCGTGCAAGCCATGGAGAGGAGCGAGGTGTGCTTTGTATCATGAGCATGAGGAAACAGAGAGGTGTGGAGATGTGTTTTTAGGCCGTTAAGTGGGGTTCATCTGTTCAGTTGTATCATCATAGCGTAGCATTGCATAGTCATTAATGGTCTTTTTGTAGATTCCTTAGGATGAAAGCCGCGATGAAATTTATCGTTCCACACCAGCGAACAGACACGTTGCACTGAATTGATACTGTCCACTTTTAAGATCTTTCATAGTGGACTTTGCAGGATTATGTTTTTTTGAGAAATTTTGATAGATACCAGATATTCACATGTCGCGCAAACTTTCTTTCGAAAGAGGCAAAGTGAAAGACAGAATCCGCCCGAAGAAGTGCATGCACTAGTTCCATGAGACGCAGTTCAGTGACCACACGTAGCACAGATAGCCTGAGCGTGCTGCTCAAAGATCATCCTACCTACAGTATCTCAAAATCCAGATCCATTGCGCCTTGCTCCTGTTTCATGCATCCCAAAGCACGTTCGACCTAACCTGGAGGAAAGCATCCGTTCACGATCGTATCAAGAACAGATTGTTAAGTCGAAATCTAGAACCTTGACTAGATGCGATGCTTTTCAGACTCTGCAGGGTCGTTAGCACTAGATCTAGACAGCGTGGGGCGGGCTATTCTTACCAAGCCTGGAGTACAACATGTACAGAGCCATTTGGTTGCATTCTTGGGTGCCAGTGATGGTTACAAGGCGTTCATTACTGTTGTCAGTAGGCTCGTTAATCTTGATCATGCTACCACTAAGCTGACGGATCTCGTTGATCTTTGCACCTCCCTTTCCAATGATAGCACCGACCATATCGTTAGGAATGAAGATTTGCTGTGTTAGTGGCTGTCCAGGCATGCTACCCACGGCTGGCTGCATGGGAGTAGAGCCATGCGCAACGGGAGCTGCCGCATGGTGGCCACCATACGAAGTGGGTGCTGCAGGACCGCCATAGGGAGCACGACCAGGTGAGCCGGCCCCATAAGGCATATTTGGATGACCATAAGGCGAAGGTTGAGGTGGCTGGCCACCATGCATGTGAGCCGCACCGTAGCCACCATGGGCAGGGGTGCGCTGAGTGGGTTCGCGGCGGAAGTTCTGAGGATGGGAATACTGCCCTCCGGCTGGTTGAGGGACGTAGGGTTGGACAGACATACCACCTGGGACCACGTTGGCTGCCATACCACTGCGAGTCGCGTACTGAGAAGCAGCAGGACCACCGAAACGCTCTGTCAGTTGTTCAACCAGAGTCTGAGCGACATAGTACACTGCAATGTGCACTGCATCAGCAACACCAAGTACAACCAATGAGCGCTCGCCGGAGTTGGGGAGAAGGGTGTCAGATGCGTTCAGCTTAGCGTTTGAGGCCTCCTGAATCTCACGAATGCGGACACCAGCCTTCCCGATGATGGAGCCAATGAGGATGTGGGGGATCAGTAGTCGCATAGGGTATGCCTTCGAGGTGGATGTGGAAGGTGTCTCGAGGTCCTCTTGGTTGAGGGTACGTACGATGAGGCCAAACGCCTTGGAGACAGCATCGACCTGACCACTCACGGTCAAGATGCGCTCGACGGCACCTCGAGAGTAGTCGCTGACAGTACACTTGGCACCAGACAGACGTCGAATCTGAGTGACGTTCTCACCACCCTTGCCAATGATAGTGGCGGCCTCACTGGTGCCGATACAGGCACGCACATGTAGCCAATTGGTCTCGTCAACTTGCTGATTATGGCTGAGAGGTCGGCCGTTGGCGCCAGAAGTAGATTGGATGGGTTGAGTCTCGAGGATTGAGGGTGCATCCGGGACAACGGTGTCAGGCTGGACATTCTCTACACCATTCTCGGCAACAGCATCAACAACGTCCACATCCGGCTGAGCGCCGTCTTGTTTGATGTCTTCAGTCGCAATACCTTCGCCCTTGACTGGCTGCGCCGTCTCAATCTCGTCGGTAGTGGGCTCGCTCACCGTCTTGTCGAGGGCAGGGCGCTTGGCATCAGGCTGTTCGTTAGGCCCGGCAGGCGAGGAAGGCTCCTCCAACGGCCGCTTGGTCGAGGAAGCTGCGATCGTGGGTGATGCAGACATTATTTCTGTATATAAGTCTTGAATGTTGAGAATGAGCTTCTACGCTTTCACGATCCGGAAAGGCTCACAAGTGAGACGCGGAGATTTTGTTCAATTGATCTCGATTATTTGCGATGTTATGTACAGCGGGGGCCGTGAAAGAAAGCGGGTGTGCTGGCGGTAGGGGAGGAGCTGCGATTGTGTTGTGTAGAGTGCGAGGAGGTGGATCCGTCGGAGCGTGATGTGCTGGGAGCGTGCAAGTGGTGCAGTGCTCTGGAGAGTGAATGCCTCGTTTAGTGAGGTATCGTGGTGCTGGTGCTGGTGATGGTGATGGTGCTGGTGTTGGTGCTGGTGTTGGTGCTGGTGCAGATGGGGCGAAGGGGCTCGGACAGGTGAGTGCTTCGGGACGTGAAGTCGAGTAGGAGAAGAAACTCGCCCAAGGAAAGAAGAAAGCTCGTCCGTCAAACCTTCTCGGATAACAGGCCGGCGTCTCAGAGGGCACTACACGCAGGCGCAGCTTCCGCTTCAATGAATTCAATGAAGAGTTTCGAGATGAGGAAGGGATCGAGGTGCTGCTGGAGAAGGGACTCGGGGGTGGATGATGGGAGAGAGTCGTCGGTGCGTGTAAGGGAGGAAGTTGCGCAGAGTGTTGTGGAGACGGCCCGAAAGGAAAGTGGGCGAGGATCGTTGTCGGGCTTGGCGCACGTGACATGGCTCCACCACATTCAATGTTGCTGGGTACGTAAGCAGTCAGCAAAGTAGAGTACTCATTCCCAACGCTTAACGTTTGCAAGTGCAAACACTCGTTGTATATCCTTGGCACGTAATCAGACAGAGGGGATGGTATTGGTTCCAAGGCAATCGTGAGCTAGTAAGAGATATCTTTGCATCACTTCGATTCAGCACGCATTCTGCGGGCCATCTGCACAAGCACCCGACTGAGTCCCACAATGGCACAACGGCAGAGTGAGAGCATTTCATACATCAGAGAATATGCAACCGTCTCTCGTGACATGTCCAATGGGCAGATGGATCTTGACGCGTCAGATACCGAGGCGCGTCTCGACCAAACAGTGAAGGAACTACAGGAAAGCGTTCAGGAACAACAAGCAGCGCTGGAAAGAGTGAGGCAACGAGGCGACAATATTGACGAAAACCCACTGACGGTTTTCTATTAGTTACGAAACCAATCAGGTATCGATGTGGAAACTACTGCATGTGCTTCGCAAGACCCTCTCCAAAAACTGCAACAACTTCTCGCGGTCAAAGACGCGTACCAACGTCTGAGACCAACTGCTACCTGCCTCCCAACATGCAGCTCTCTCCTTCCAGCATTACTGGCACTGCGTAGCCTTCAGCAGAATGTCCAGGGGATCAAGGAGGCCATCTCCGCTACCCAGGTACAGCTCAGCAAAGCAGAGATTGCGCTACGAGGAGAGGAAGCAAACCTGCACGATGCGAATCTACTTACGCAAACCATGGAAACCCGCATTGAGCGTCTTCAAGCACATTATGAGAATCGCTCACAAAAGACCCCTGCCCAGCTTGCACGGGAACTGATTGCAGCGAAGCGTGCCCAGAAAGATCGATACGACGCAGATACTGCGCGTTTTGGCGAAGCTATGAACGACTTCATCAACGACTACTTATCTTCCATGCTTGCAGCCGAAGAATTGGGAGGCCCTGTTGTTGGCGACATGCTTGATGTGCAGGAGGACACACTTGCAGCTGGCTTCACCAAGAAAGGAAAAGCAAGATCTTCGAAGAGAACCGTGTCCGATAGGACGCGGCAGCGAAGAATCGACCAGATATGGGGTGAAAAAGCTGCCACTGTGGTTGAGGACGACGAGACACCGCCCACGGAAGCTGAAGCTGCTGATGCTGAGATGAGGCAACTAATCAGTAGCCTCTTTGCTGTCCTCAGGGGACCTGGAGGAGGCAAGGCATACTTCCTGCTCGAGAGAGACTCAGCAGCATCAAGGTTCTTGGTTAGGGCAAGGATTGCACAATTCCATCCCAAAGACGCAAAGAGGCTGCGTTTGATAGACTTTGGCCGGGATTTGGAGGATTGAGAAGACTTTGTTCTCCAAAAGCCACGCATTCTGCCCATATTGCGGAACTGATTTCGTGTCTCTATACACATACACGCGCGCGCGCGCGTCTGCAACACTCAAGGCCTGTGGCGGTGTACTCAAAACTTCTCTACGGCTTTGGATCATGTCGCTTTCGCATTGCTATGGTGTGTCTCACTTGCAGTGAATTCCTCAAACACACACCCGCGCGCCTGTGATGAGAAGGGCTGAACCTGGGTGTCTGACCCCACGTCTGTCCCGCTCAACCCATCAGCACGAGTGCGCCAGAACTTCTCGACAGGATGTCCCAGTCCTCGCAAGCGCCCGGAGTCTGTTATGGGCGCAAAATCTTGCCCAAAGGTTGTTCTAGCCCAATTCAGGGTCCTTGGCCTGATAAGGAGCGGATGCTAGGAAGAGAGATGTGGTTGCTGTAATGGGCAGCTGTCATTTGAAACGGATCCCACTGGCCATACTAAGGGAGTGATGATTGTGACATGAGCTATCGCCCCGCTAAAGAGGAACCCAATTCTGCAAGATGTCCATCCCACCCCCCTCCTTGCGCCCTGACAGAGCAGCGAATCAACAGCAAGCCAGACCGACCATGAGAAGCATGAAAAGACGGAGAAGAAAAGTAAAAAGTACGAGCCAGAATGACCCTTGCGACAAACTCCGAAGCGAAGCCTCCTTTGGCATCGTCCGTCTGGCATCGGGGGGTGGGCAGGTGAGCCATGGCCATGGACGGCAATTGGACCTTGTTCCTCCTAAACTGGAGAAACTACTAGGATGCAGAAGGAACATGCAGGTGCATCAGCATCAACGTGGCTCCTGTACATGGCTACCAATTTTGCTCATGGACCCAACCGGTGCCATTCCAGGCTTGCGTCAGCGGCTGAGTGCATACTATGCAAGTGTGAGCCACACACGACGGTATTGGCTGCCACAGACGAAGCGGAATGGACACGGCTTATAATGCGACTTTTCATTCGAGGAGCATGTCTGTTTTTCGTGCCGGGGGATCGTGCGAGATCGCGATTCCGATTGCGACGGGAATTGGGTACCGAGGGCGGAGTGGGGGGTTTGGTCGAGCCAGCTTGGGGGTCACTAGCGCCATGTGTGTGGAGAAGGGCGGCGGGAATGATGGATGAGACGAGCTGGTCGCTTTGGCCGTGGGTAAGTAGTACTATACCTAACGGCATTGTACATACCATCACCATTCCATCATTCCCATGTACCTAGGTACTATACTGAGTAAGTGGATCAGCGCTCTGCAAACTGACGGTCGACCTGAAACATGGATGGTGGTGATCAGGAGGATCAGGCAGGGGTTTTGCCCACATTCACATGTACAGTACTCTACGTATATATAGTACTGTGTAGAGTATTGTATGAAGTCATATCCGTCATGACAGTTGCGCAGAAGACCCATGTTCCCCTGTTGCATACTATGCTATGTAGTAGTATGGGCATCTCGGCTACATGGCTGGCTCCACATGTCTCTGGTACTACTCCATGTACATATAGTACCAACTCAACTCTGCTACTCTGCTCTACACCTGCCAGATTGATCATTCGATACCAGGCACGCGTGCTCAGTGCGGCCCGGCATAGGTATCCTACACGGCTTAAGATTGGCAATAAAATTCCGCTCCTCCTACCAAAGAAGTCATCACATTCGCATAGGCGCACCGCCACAGCTAACCTTGAAGAGGAAATATGCAGACGGCATAAACGCAAAGGGCAAGGCCAGGTCCCCGCCGAGGAGACGCAGGAGCATTTCCGAGTATTGATACCGTTCGTTTCTTCCAAGTCTCTTTTTCGTGTAGTAGAAGAGGTGCTGTAGTCCACTAGTTCCTCAGGATGCGAATCTTCAACTGGGATCGTTCTGCATTTACACGTCCCGACACTTGGCAAGCACCCTGGCCTCTCCATGAGCATCTTACGTTGCAATCGCATGAAGCAAGCCGAGTTTGCTCCTCTGTACTATAGTAGGGGTCTACGAGGATGGCCGATGCATTGGACAGTCGTTGCAATCCAATATTGACTCAACAGGAACTCATCCCGCAATCTTCCAAGACCGCTGCACGGAAATTGCCTTTTTTGCTTGGTGGATACATACCAAGGCGCACCGACTGGCTTGTCGCCTCCATGGACCCGTTCTAGAATAATAGTTAAAGCAGCCATCTCACTCCCGCGCAAGTGTACAGTGATCAGAAGTCGGAGCATCCCCGTGTGGTATGAAGGCGGGTTTGTGATGATGGATGAGCACAGGCGTGGCCATGGTTGCACATGGTCTTCAGAGGTACGTACACTGCGACACGTGACGAAGCGGGGCACACGCCCAACTAGGTAGAGTACTGAGACCTACTCTACTACTCTACCTAGCCCCTCTCTGGTGGGTAATTTGGATTTCAGGTGCCACCAGCGCAACAACAATGCAAACCCCTCGCAAAACACGATAAACGAAAGGGCTCTGCACGTGAAAGAGAGGCGCACGAAAAGAGTGCACGCACGAGCAGCTGTGGCTGTGCAAAAACAAACAAAAACGCCCTTGGACTGCCGCTTACCAAGTGGCAAAGGGAAATACTATGTTACGGCACAAGATCCCTACAGGCGAACCACCCATTCGGGTAATCGATCTTCACCATCTGCGTCCAAAGCGGTCCGAAACGCGAAATCGGTAGACGTGGGTGGGCAATCAGGCCGAGCCGCTGTGGCGACGGGCAGAGCGAGCCACACCAAGCAAACAAGTGTGGCGAAAGTGTGGCTACGACTTTCCGTCATCCCAGTTGCACATGGAGTAGTACTTACATTGCCTAGAGTAGTAGGGTACGACAGTAGAGTAGTACAAGAACAGTGCCTGAGCTGTTGATCTTCCAACGACAGGACGTGTGATAGGATCGACGAGTGAGGATCCACCATCCTGAGCTCTTCCTGTGGAATGGCCAAGTGTACTCAACCTTCCTAGCAGCGCGGGGAAGAGAGACTGCGTGCGATATCCTCTCTTTTCGACCTGGTTAGCACTAGTACTCTACTCTAGAGTACACTATAGTACTCTACCCTTACGCGTCCTCTGTCGCGTTCCCGGTGCAAGGGTTTCGGATTTCGGGGCCCACGACGACTCTTGCCCTGCATGAACGGTGGCGAAGGACTGTTGCTCGCCATTGGGACTGACCAGCGAGAGAGATCCAAAATCGATAGGAGTACTAGACTACTTAGTACTGTATCTACAAGCTCCCTGACTGGAGCTTGACGCTGGTTTCGAGGGGTCGCCAACCTATTCGCAAGGGTAAAGGTATTTGTTGTATGCCCAGTTTGCCACTATGGTAGGAAGCCAGTCAAGATCCCAATCTCCTTGTGTCTTTGCCTGACTGCCTCCTGACTCTGTGCGCACCTGTGAGGTTTGCCAGGTAGCTGTGGCTGTCTCCAGGGATCATTCATTGGCAAGAGTTGTACACGTTTCATGGAGTACTGTATACTCTACTAGTACGGCGACAAAAATGAATGAAGCACAGCTGCTCATCTCCAGTACTGATCGCCCCGTTCTCATGCACAAACATGTCATGATTATGCCAGCGCATCTGCAGGATGGCACACCCCTTGAACTGTTCCCCCTTCACCTTCACAAACTTCACCGCATGTCGCCGTGTTGATTCGTGATTGCCGTGCTGCACTATGACGTCAAGTGTCGGAGCCGATTTCTTTAGGCCCGGAGAGCCCCATGTCGCGATCGCTGTCGGCTATACCTTCCCCTGCCACGGTAATCTCATGGCGCCCAGGATCCCCATACACAAGGTAGACGAGAATGCAAAACTTTAACATCGGTACGTGGCCGGTACATGATATGGTGACGTAATTGAGACTACTACTAGGCCATGGATGGTACGACCTGGCCGGTACGTGAGGGTAGTTTTGAGCGCATGATTTCTTCTCTAGCTTGGATCCCCACATCGCATCAGCTTGAGCCGATTGTGATCAAAGCGTGATGAAAAGGAATGAGTAGCGGGACCATCTGAGTCGTGCGATAGTTGGCGCTTACCAGGATGGCTTCCTCAAGGATACGTGCGGCAGCGCTTCGTGAGTTTGCAAACATTGATTTGAAACATGGGAATCGTGGAAGGAGTCGTGTGTTTCTAGAGTTCTCTACGACGAACTCAAGTCTCATCGAGGCCTTGCGACGATAATCCGTGTGAGATATCGTGGTGCCCCAATTCAATGGTCCAGGCGCATGGCTTGCAACGAAAGAGAGAGGTGCAACATTCGTAACGTTTGCAATGGCAGAATATTCATTGAGCATCCATAAGACCATCCCCGGCAAAATCGTATCCAACGACCAAACGCCATCTCTGTATATACTGCAAAGAAAGTTGACAGTCCTGTTGCCATTCAAGTTCGCGCTCATGTATATATCGCGATTCGTTGCTGCCCGCCCTGTGTTCGTGTTCAAACTTTGCTTTACAATCTGAAGCCGCTAGAAAGGGTAAAGTAATGGTATAATGGGTATCGTAATCGAACCAGAAGAGAATAAACGATGTGAATCAAAAGCGAAGTGAAATCGCCCATAACAGAGGCGAGTGGTATCTCCAAAGCGCTCAACGCCAAATGGTGTGAAGTTGTCCCGGAATATCAGCCGAGGAAAATAATTAGGCCGCGGTGAGCAATGCGCGGTTTACTCTAAGCGTATCGATAGTAGTGCCATGATAAGAAACCCAGGATGAAACGTGTGACAGTTGTGGCACATTGTGTGTGTGGGGGGGGGGGGGGGGGGGGCATGAGGAGGGGTGACGGGTTCGGCCTCCTCGACTGGGGTGGCAACGGGGCTAGCCACGGGTGCG